CATCACAACAAAATCTTTTATGATACAAAGTTCCAACCGAATGCAGGCATATCTGACATTTGTCCGTGTCGGCCAGCTGCTGACTGCACATTCTGTCCATCGTCCATGTGGTAAGCAAAACAGCCGACCGTAGATCATGCTTGTGGTGCTCAGACCATCCTGTGACGGTCCCTTTCCCACAAAGACTTTGAATGCCATCCCATAAGATAGGCCTGCGCCATGAGACATTCCCACTGCGAGCGTTCAGCGCCTCGACGTCTGAAGAATCTCGCGCGGCCTCTGCCGCAAGCTTCCTCACAGCAGCTGGGGCGAGCTGGAAGAGATCGATGGCGTCGCCGTTGTGGGACTTGAGGAGCCGAGCCGAAAGAGGCTGCCAACCAATCTCGTGCAACGTCAGAACGAGTACGTGCGCAGGGGAAATGGCCTTACTCCACGGTGACTTGGCGAACTTCAAATCGGCGATCGCCTGCCTCAAGACAATATCAAGAACCTCAACCCTGACCACGTTATCCCAGACGGCCCTGGCCCACTGCAATACGACCTGGCTGTGGTAGTACACCCTGGGGCCCATATCTCCGGCCTGCTTGGAGGTCTGCATCTTGAGTCCTAAAGAGGCCCCAGACCTGTCCTTGAACAGGCTCCTTAAAGCAGCAGCTCTTAGACTCCTAATCTGTCTGCCAGTAAGCCCCGACACGGAGCACCCCCGCAAGGGGCCCGCCTGGGGCCCTGCACGGTGGATTTGTCCTATATTTCCTCCTGCCGCCCATAACCTCCTCAACCTGGCGGCCCTCCTAGCTCCTTTTCTTAGCCTCATCCTCGTGGTGAGGTTTCGCCTGACCCATCCTGCCCCAGCGTCGCACCCTAGGCTGCGAACAACCATCTTCATGCGGAACCCATGCGAGTCCCAAGCCTTGGTGAGTCCTTCGGCCACTTCTTTCGAGGATGAGATGAAATGAGTCGTCTTGCCCGAGATCACCAGCTTCAACCTCGAGAACCCTTCGACCAACTTATGACCGATAGCCGTCATCTCCGCGAGCACGTAATTGTCCGTGCCCAAAACTTGTGCCGAGACGTCATCTACGACATTACGTACATGCGCAGCAGGGTGTGCATCCGCAATCTTCGTGAGCGTGCGAAAGAGGAGGACTTTCACAAGGGTCATGGCAATACTGCAACCTGCAAGGATGGTACCAGGTACACGAAACACTCCTGATACAGCCCCTTGGGACGCTAGTACTCTAGGTCCAGCATAAAACGCACAGGCAGCAGCAAATACACGATAATTGAAGGTAGTAGCCATTCCCTCACGTACTAACACACCATAATTCACGCGCTCGTAGAATTTATGGAGATCGGCGAATAAGGTAGCTGATGTCATATGCTGTATCACAGCATACGCAGTAAGCATATTGTGTTGCCATCCAGCTCTATCACACTCCTTATCCCTGATACCCCAGAAGCACTCGGACCTGTGTTTTCCTCCCACTGTTTTGCAAGAGGTTGCCGAAGTCGTGCCCATGCACGCATCAGCGAGCATATGAGGGCGATCGGCCTGAGTCCGTCACCGTCAGGCTTCGCCATAAAAAACAATCACCGTTGGCCAGAGCGGTGACATCACTGGGTTTTGCCCCCAGGCCATCAGTACATCTATCAATATGTCAAAATAAATATCTGAAAGGAGCAAACAACTGCGGCGATTAATGCAGTCCACGCCAAGGCCGACATCATGCCGAAAGAGACTGAGTACTGCCTTCAGCTCGTCGGCCGAGGGCCTGGCCAGAGGCGGTGCTTCCTGCAGCCAGAGGCGGTGCTTCCTGCAGCCAGCGGTGCTGGCCAGCACTGATGCCCTCACTGAGGTCTGCCCAGATCTCCCCCCCGCTCTTTGAGAAGAGCCTGGATGGCCTCGTCCCCCTGGAGCACCCAACCTTGGGGCCCAACAGGCCCTAAGGTCTCCTTGGGTCCCTTACTGAACCTGTGGGCACCCTTACCTCCTCCCTTGACGGCCCCCTCCGCCCAATCCTTCCAAGCTTTCCATTGCCTGCTGGAATCCTCCTTCAAGACCTGCTTGTGGATCTCCTGGGCCTCATATAGCGACCTGGGGACCTCCTCAGCACCTGTCTCCCAGAGGGTCTGAACCAACGCGTCCATACTTGGGGCCATCCGCTGAAGCCAGGGCTGAAGTTCAGCTTCAGGTAATCCGTGAAACCGATCAGCAAGGCGAGACCATTCTTCAAACCGATGCGTAGCATCCTCGATGTCGAAGACACGCGCAGCCTGGCTCAAATACGCAACCAACGAGCGCCACGCCCGTGTTGCACGTGAACTGTGGGTTTGACATTTCTTCGCCAAAAGGGATTCGAGGGGCACCTGCTTACGACGAAACCCCGATGCACGACCACAATGCTCATCCCGACGAGGTCCATGGGTATCAAACTGGTCACAAAGCTCCGATTCGACGTTGCGTATCCAGTTGTTCCAGAGCTGCTCGACCGATAACTCACCCCAATCCAAGACATCCCAAATCCATTCCTGTTCATTTTCGGGTAGAAGGCAACCCACAGCACGGCACGTTGGGAAGGGCTTCCGCGACACTTTTACATGCACAGGGATGGCCAGCGTGACTCCACGGAGCCACAGCTCCACAAGCGAATGAAGACTTGACGGGGCCTCCAGCCAAGCTCGCAGATTCGAAACACAGGACTCCAGCCCACGCGATACCACGAAAAAGTCGAGCGTGCTACCTTTGCCTGCCGCACACGTATTACACATAGGTGCTAGTATTGTGGCCCCCACGATCGCACACCACTGGACTAGACCAGGATCATCAGGTTGCATATTTGCATCACATCCCAATACCCATGGTAGGGTGCTCTGGTGCAAGTGTAGGCCCAACCCTTCTAACATGTCCAGATTCGGTCCTTTACATCCTACACCGTCATGGAAATATGCAGACAACCACACTATACCGCGCGGTACTACAGCTCGCACACGCGCGCCAACAACACGCCCAGCACCCGCATCATGACAAAACTTGAAAGTGCTGGCTTCGATGTGTCCAGCTGCAATGTGGGACGCCACTCCCACCACCACCCCTCCCGATGCTGCAAGTAGGTGGTCACCCGTGGACACAGCGCGAGCCGAAAAACTTCGGTATCCTTGGTACCGTAACCGTGCACGCATGCTGCCCTCCTTATCAGCCTCCTTCAGCCTAGTCTCCTGAATCGCTAGAAACTGCGGCAGGGGCTCGGCGCGCTCCGCACGCCAATCAAGCACAGCCTGGGCGGACTCCCAGGTGTTGGCATTGGTGGAGAGGAACCTGGATTCCTGCTTGTCGCGAGGCTGACACTTCCTTCGCTCGCGCTCAGCAGGGACAGACGAGAAACTTTCCTCCTGAGCTTCCTCGTCCTCCTCCTTAACCGCCTCCACCTGGCTGCTACGATCAATGCTGCTTCTTCTTGAGCTTCTTAAGAACGAAACCACGCTGTTCGAACGTCTTCTGAAGCTCTCGCTGCTGCTCCTTAAACCTTTTGATTGACTCCTCCTTCTCCTGCTGCCGTCTTTTCCGCTCCTCCTCATCTGCTGGGACTCCTTCACCTGGGGTAGCTGGGACAGGTTGGGTCCTCTGAGCGGCGGCCTGCTCTGACAAGTAGAGCCAATCCTCAGGAGTGAGGTATGGGAGCTCATCTTCGTCCATTGCACTTGGGGCTGCGGTGTGCTAAGCAGAAACGAATGGATTAGTGCCGAGAGTATGAGCAACAGCAGCGTCACGCCACTGCTCCTGTACCTGGGCCTGGAGGACTTGGAGCAGTTTGCCCATCTCTGGTACATTCTGGACGGATTCCAGCCACACCTTGAAACTTGGTCCGTGCTGGAGTGCGGCCGCCTCGGCCTGACCTGAGAAAGCGAGAGACAGGGCTGGCCCAGCAGCTGGCTGTGCTGGGACAAGCTGAGCGAGGGACGAACGAGCCTCCTCCTCCACCTTAGCCACCTTCTCTGCCTCCTCCACCTTCTTACGTGCGTTTTCGACTTGCTTATCCAGGAGTGTTTTAGCCTGCCGCACTTCCTCCTCCGTAGCCTTGGCAGCCTTCTTGGCCGCCTCAACTGCAGCAGTGGCCTGGGTGAGACGCGTCGAAATGGACAATTGCTGCGCCTCCCACGGCCTAGAGCGCCTGAGTTGGTCCTCCAACTCTGCAATCTTCTGGTCGGCCACCTCTTTGTCAGCAGCCGAGCATGACAACCTGGAACTGTTCTTCCAAAGCGCAATACGAGTCTGGAGCACTTTAATATCCTCTCCAGCCTCCTTTTCCTTCTTAGCCTCCTCACCGCCTTTGCCCTCCTCGCCACCTCCTCCTCCACCTCCTCCAGCCGCTGGGGGGGTCGATGATGAGGGAGTTGACGATTGTCCTTGTTCGAGGGCCTCAAGCTTCCTGAGGATCTGTGCCAATGTATCCCCCCCAGACTTCCACCTGTTGCCTTTCTCCTTGGGCCCCTTGGGGCCACCTCCTCCGCCGCCAGCTTTGAGAGTCTCCTCATGTGCTTTCCGAGCAGCGGCCGCAACTTTCTGGGAGGCTTTGGCACCACACTTACATACGAGCCTTCGAGCCCAGTTGCCAGTCCTGTGGCAGGACGAGCAGGACCAGAACGGCGTTTTTGGTCCCAACAGCACATCCTTATTCTGTCCAGCTGCCGGCGGCGCCATGCACCGCCCCACGCACTGCTGCCGAAGTCTGAACAACAGGGATGTAGCAGGTGGGTTGTGCCCAGCTGCCTCCTGAGGCGCACTGGGCAAGTGGAAAGAGGTCCCCTCGCGCGCGGGGTCACCTCGAACCTTGCCTTGTGCCGTAAACGGCGATATCTTGAGCCAAAATGGCTACGGACTCCTCCTCCTCCTCCTCCTCCTCCTCCTCCTCCTCGTTCCCCTCCTCCTCCTCCTCACCGACCCCTCCCCGAGCCCCCCCGCCCTCGAGGGTGCCCCCCCCACACGCGCCCCCCGGGGGCACCTCGCCGTCGTCCCTGGCGCGCTCGCCCTGCTCTACCGCCGGCACGCCGTCCACGCCCACAGCCCGCTGGACCTGCCCACGCCCGGGGGCCACGGCCGCCTGCGCGGGCGGGTCTGCGTCCGCCCGCAGAAACGCCGCGCGCTCTCGTTGCGCGCTCCTCTTTGGCTTCTCCTCCTCCTCCTCATCCTCCTCCTGCTACTCCTCATCGCATGCGTCCCGCACACCCAATTCGGCACACCCCTCACACGTTTCGTGGCCCCATAGGGAGCCCCACCGAAGGCCCCAGTGCTGCCGCCCGCATGCGCCCCGCACGCCCAATTCGGCACACCCCTCACACGTTTCGTGGCCCCATAGGGAACCCCGCCGAAGGCCCCAGTGCTGCCGCCCGCATGCGTCCCGCACACCCAATTCGGCACACCCCTCACACGTTTCGTGGCCCCATAGGGAGCCCCACCGAAGGCCCCAGTGCTGCCGCCCGCATGCGTCCCGCACGCCCAATTCGGCACACCCCTCACACGTTTCGTGGCCCCATAGGGAGCTCCGCCGAAGGCACCAGTGCTGCCGCCCGCATGCGTCCCGCACACCCAATTCGGCACACCCCTCACACGTTTCGTGGCCCCATAGGAAGCTCCACCGAAGGCCCCAGTGCTGCCGCCCGCATGCGTCCCGCACACCCAATTCGGCACACCCCTCACACGTTTCGTGGCCCCATAGGGAGCTCCACCGAAGGCCCCAGTGGCGGCGCTCACATGCGCATGCGTCCCGCACACCCATTTGGGCACATCCCTGACAGGTTTCGTGGCCCCATCCACCGGAGGCCCCAGTGGCGGCGCTCACATGCGTCACCCACACCCACCCAATTCGGCACACCCCTCACACGTTTCGTGGCCCCATAGGGAGCTCCACCGAAGGCTCCAGCGGCCGCGCTCACATGCGTACCCGCCACCCATCCCAGCACGCCCCTCACAACAACAGGTTTCGTGGCCCCATAGGGAGCTCCACCGAAGGCCCCAGTGGCACCGCCTGCATGCGTCACCACCCGCACCCAATTCGGCACACCCCTCACACGTTTCGTGGCCCCATAGAGAGCTGCACCGAAGGCCCCAGTGGCGGCGCTCACATGCGTCCCCGCCACACATCCCAGTACACCCCTCACGCGCTTCGTGGCCCCATAGGGAGCTCCACCGAAGGCCCCAGTAGCGGCGCTTACATGCGTCTCCGCCACCCATCCCGGCCCCCCCCCCCCGCAGCAGCATCATGTTTCGGGGACCCATAGGGAGCTCCACTGGAGGCCCCAGTGGCGGCCCGCACATGCGTTTCCGCCACCCATGTCGGCACGCCCCGCGCGTGTTTCATGTCCCCATAGGGAGCTTCGCCGAATGCCCCAGTGGCACCCATCTCGGCACACCCCTCACACGTTCCGTAGTCCTATGGGGAGTTCCATTGAAGATGAAACCCGCAGCTGCGGTACTGACAACTGCATATGGTTGGGTTCTTCGCCAGGCCAATTTTTCGGGGAGGGCCGACTAGAGTTCACAGCATGCCGTCAAACGTGCACTCTAGCAAAAGATGGGGGCTGGAGCCTAGCATGAAGATATTTCAATGATCTTAAATCTATTGCCCGAAGACTGGATTTCAAGTTCCGCTTCTTGGTTCGGTGCTATGCCAAACCCGTTGGCTCCACCCTCGCCGAACTGTGGCTGCGACAAGTTGATCCCCGCATTGAACCACGCCACAAATGATTGTGATACTTTTTCAACGTTCTCGCTCCCCCAAAGGCCATGCAATGTCGCAGTTCTGCCATTCATGACTAGGTCCGCATCTCCCATGCCCTCATAACTGCGAAGGAATGTCACTGCCAGTTTCGGTTCCGGGCCGAACTTTAATGGTACACGCATGATTGCGCGACTGTTCACAGACGGGGTTTCAGAAATCCATCCAGGTTTTCCTGGCCGGTCTTCAAATAGCCGCCAGCCATCGAGGTAGCTTGGCTGAGGTACTTTACTGTGCGGTTTGATGGACTCGAAAGCCGAGAACCAAGACATCGGGTGCCTGCATGACGGAAATAATGCGAGTTCCTCTTCTTTATTGAATGGTGCACTTGGCCAAACATGCGAATCCGTATCTGCATTGGCGCAACTCTTCTCTAACACTTTGTCCCACACGCCTGCGATCACATCTGCCACCAGTTGGTGCCCCATCCAATCTGGATGATTCTTGCCATTCCAGATTCGTGGATCTTCGGGGTGTGCGAGCACCAGCGACGCATAATCAATATGTGGAATATTGTAATGGTTGGCGATGTCGTGCTGGTGCGGCTTCATCCGATGGCATTTTGGACAGCCGGTAAACAACGATACAAGCAGAGTGTTGGGTTTTGGTCATGCACTGCGCGGACAAGCCCTTCATACGTTATGGAGACCACCCTTTCTGCTGTTAATGGAGAAGCTGTTGCTGTGCCCCACCTTTTCCCTTCCGAAGCATCATTAACCAAGGTGTCCAATATGACAATGTCAATATTCAAGTCACCGAGACTTTGAAATTCGCCGGCCCAACGGGCCAGAGGCGTGCTAAGATCTCCGGTGACTGCTTTACAATATTTCTACTTCGCAAGCGCGGGGCGGCCCCTGGGGGCCCCCGGGCGGAAAGTACCCCGGCAAGGTCCCGAGAGAGTCCCGGGAGGAGTCACCAGGGCGCTCCAGCAGCGCACCAACGCGGCTCCGAGACGTCCCCGAGAGCCCCAAGAAGGGCCAAGAGGCTTCCAAGAGGCCCCCAAGATGCTACATGAGGGGTCCGAGATGCCACAAGATCGCTCCAAGACGCCCACGATGGCCCCCAGACGCCCCAAGAGGCCTCCAAGAGCACTCCCGAGAGGGCCCCAAGAGGCAAAATTCACTGCTTTTCCTTAGGTTTTGGAGAGATTTTGGCGTTTCCACCTTTTCGGCTTCACGACACCCCAAGACGGCCCAAGAGGCCCCCAAGACCGCCCCAAGAGGGCCCAAGAGGCCCCCAAGAGGGCCCCAAGACGGCCCAAGAGGGCTCCAAGACGGCCCAAGAGGCCTCCAAGACGGCCCAAGAGGGCCCCAAGAACGCCCCAAGAGGGACCCCAGGGGGGGAACACGAAACAATATTTCGAGCCCTCGGCCCTCAGAAGTCCCCAGGAGGCCCCAAGAGGCCCCTAAGAGGCCCCAAGAGGCCCCCAACAGGCCCTCAGGAGGCCCCCAAGAGGCCCCCAAGCGGCCCCAGGAGGCCACCCAAATGCCCCCCCGAGCACGCAAGCAAGTGCCAGCGACGCTACACTATGGGCCGGCGGAATGAGCGAAGCGATTCAATAACAAACCGATTCCACCTAGAACTACGGAGCTTGTAGTACCACCATGGGCCAAGTTGATTAGGTTAATCTTCGAGCTGGGAAACGCATTTTGCAATATTTTGCGGAGGCGCGCTGACCAAGCGCATTCGAAACCAGAAAGGATTGTTCCATCAGGCAGGCTCTGCTCGCATTCAGTTCCTGAGGTCATCGACCCTCCAATAACAACAATGTTGGCAACGCCGCCGCCAACGATGTTTTGAAATACGTGCATGGCATTGCTGTACGATCCTTCCACCCGCTGGGCAAGAATGGTCTCCAATTCATCTGGTCGGAACGGGTAAGAATTTCCAAGCCCGTCATCAAGACACTTTGTAGCATCGAAATATGGCGGCAACCCTACTCTCGGACACGCTGGAGAGGCGTCAGGGGACCTCTCCAATGGATTGGCCCCGTCAACGTGATCGGCCCAGTCAGCGCCAAGCGTGTACCCCAAAAAGGGCTTCACATAAGGATCATCAAGATCCGTTTTCACGTGTAAGCCGATTGCCAAACCAAACGGCAACAGACGCAACAACGCAGTGCCCCACCCCATTCTATCGCTGCGTCTGCGGTAGGAGAGCGTGGCAAGCAAAGGGGTTCGGAAGGAATGAATGGATGTCAAAGGCTTGAGCCTTGAGCCAAAATGGCTACGGACTCCTTGGGAGCCATCTTGGAGACCTCTTGGGGCGTCTTGGAGGCCTCTTGGACAGTCAGAGACCAATTCTGGGGTGGTCTCGGGCGGCCATTGGTCGTTTTCGTTGTCTGGAAACGCCAGGGCCGTCTTCGGACGCCTTTACAAGGCCCCCAGCGCCACGGCAAGGCCTCTGGGCCCCCCAGTGCGAGGGCCCCGTCCCGGGCCCCGCCTCGTGCCGGCGGCAGGGCGTCCCTGGGCCGTCTCGGCGCCCTCGTGGGGGCCTGTTGGGGCGACATTGGGTGTCTGAAATCCATGAAAAACCTAAGGACAATCAATGATTTTGGCGTCCCTTTGGGCCGTGTTGGAAGCCTTGTGTTGCGGGCCGTCCGGAGGCCATCTTGGGCGTGTTCGGGCGATATGTCATTGTTTCGGGGCCTCTTGGGGGCCTTTTGCGGCCCTTTTCGTCTGTGTTGGTTTTCTTGGGCCGTCTGGGGGCGGCCCTGGACTGTCTCGGCGCCCTCTTGGAAGCCTGTTTGGAAGATTTCTGGGTGTCCTGGACCGTCCTCCTTCAACGTCGGCGGCACTGGCCGTAAGACTTCCTGGGAACATGATTTGTTGGGGTGTCGTTGGGCGCCTCCGGAGGCTTCGGGGCCTGACGCGTTTTCGAACGTGGCGGCAGGTAGTCGTTTTTTCCCAACCATCCTGTGGTGTTGGGTCCTCGTTTTGAAGAGACAGCGCCCCGCGTCTCCTCCTCCTCCTCCTCCTCCTCCTCCTCCTCCTCCTCCTCCTCCTCCTCCCTCCTCCTCCTCCTCCTCCTCCCCCCCCTCCTCCTCCTCCTCCTCCTCCTCCTCCTCCTCCTCCTCCTCCTCCTCCTCTCCTCCTCCTCCTCTCTCCTCCTCCTCTCCTCCTCCTCCTCCTCCTCCTCCTCCCCTCCTCCTCCTCCCTCCTCCTCCTCCTCCTCCTCCTCCTCCTCCTCCTCCTCCTCCTCTCCTCCTCCTCCTCCTCCTCCTCCTCCTCCTCCTCCTCCTCCTCCTCCTCCTCCTCCTCCTCCTCCTCCTCCTCCTCCTCCTCCTCTCCTCCTCCTCC